CACACTGAACCCTTTCCACCAGTTAAGTTGAGTATTAAACTAAGTTGCTTTTGGAAAACAAGGCCAAGCTCATAAACATTCACTTCCTGAGATGCAGTAAATCTGTTGGAGCAGGACAGCTTTACTCCAGAACCAGAATTGGGAACCTGTGGCATATGTAATTGATAACTGCACTGTATGTCTGTTAAACTATACAATACTATGTAATGTAATTTTTAAACTGTGTAAATTCTCTTCTGTGTCGCTCAAGTTGCTTTCAGATTAACAGTGCAACTGGTGATGACATCATTAACCTTGCTGAGCAAATTCTAAACTGTGGATACAGTTGATTTAGACTGGTTTATTTGTTCTATAAAACACACAGACTACTGACAATAAGCAGTGCTTGAAATATCTTTTAATTACAGTGGTATCTTGGTACTTTAAAGCTGCTTGTTTTCTATAAACTGGTAGTTCTTAATGTGCAATACCTCCATTCTGCACATTTTAGTATATTCCGTGCTCTAACACACTCACTTTGAGAGAGTTTGTTAATAAGCTGAATAGTGAGATCAGGCCCTGTATTCACAAAGCTTCTCAGAGTATGAGTGCTGATTTAGGATCAGATTCCTTTCTTATTAATTATGACTTATGGAAAGTTAGGAAAGTTATGAGCTAGGGGCAGATACTGACTTTCATGTTGGAACCACACGGGGGCGCCAACCACTCCATGTATGCCTCTATTAATGGTGATGGGGCTCAAACGGAAGGGAGGAGACCAACGACGGGAAAACAGTGTTTTGTTGGAATGGCGAGCGGTGGACCCACGGGGGTCTTTCTCTCTTTCTCTCTCTCTTATGCTCGTTCCCCTTTTGTGGACTCCTTTTGCCTATATTTTGGATTTTTATCGGAGCACCCATTTCCTTGACTAATAAAACCTGAAAGCTATCATGGACACGGCTTGAGCTGGTCGACCACATGCTCAAGGCTTGGGCTGGCCCCAACCCCGTTTCCAGGTGACTTAGAGACTTGGCAGCAGGTGAGTTGGCCTTTGGTGGGGGTTTCCAATTAGATTTAGGCATACACTTTTACTTTTGCTCATGTTCCACGCTAAATCGCAACTCGTAGGCACAGTGTGCCTTGGTTACAGTCAGGACTAGAATACACAAGTTAGACCCTAGACAATTTGCCATTTCCTTTGAGCTTTAGTGGTTCCTGAGCTCATAACACTTTACTGACAAGAAGATCCTAGATCAGCACTCAGACGTGCAGTGAATACAGGCCCAGATGAATTAGGACAGAGGTACTCCATGACCAGGTCTAAGAAATGCTACTTTAAATAAAGGACAACATTAGTCCACTAAAGTATTTCCCCTCATGCTTTTGTTTTAGACCTGTTGTACTCCATTCATCCATGAGAGTCATCCCAGTTCTTGACCAGCTTAGGAAAGGCCTGCTGCTTTATGACCTCCCGAAGATCATGAAGACATACCCAGATCTTTGTCTATCACTGTTTGTACCAGGAGACGATGACAAGGTAAACAATTCTTTCCTTTGGCTTTTTTTTAATAAAGCATTAAAATAAGGGTTTTCACCTACCCTAGATGCTGTCGATCAGGAACCAAGACATGTTTGGGGTCCAAATTTAACTTCTTTACATACAAACACAAATTCATGAGGTTTAAGACAGAGTATGACGTGGTGAACTATAAGGTCTGGTTTCATGGACTTGGATTAAGCCTGGACAAAATGATAAAATCAGTGGTGATTTACCATTGAAAAGCCTTAAAACTCGAACACCTAAGGAACAGGAGTGCTGATCTAGAATCAGTTTTAGTGACCGTTACCATCAGATATGGAGGAATCTGATCCAAGATGAGGCTGCTTTGTGAAAAGTAGATTTGCTGGCCTTTTAAATGGTTGTCTGTAGCTGTAAAGTTGTATTCATTTTTATAGACTCATGTCCACTAGTCTGTGAGGCCTTAATCAAGATTTGGATGCGGTTTGAGAAGTTTTAGTAATATTTTTGCAGAAACAGTTGGGGCTATTTGTGGACTATTGACTTCTAGAGTTTGGCCTTTAGTTTAGAACTGGAGCTAACAGAGTCAAATATTTCATTTCATTTTTAGGAAGATGCAGCTTTTATTCTGGAAAAGTGCCATCCTGTCTTCAGTCAGAGGGGATCCTTGAACTACAGCATGGAATAAACATGATTAACTTTTTCCAGGACTTCCTTCAGGAAATTGAAGATAGATCTGTTTTAGCTATTTGTTTTCCAACAGTAAGAGCCACTCGCACCATTACTTTTCCTTGTGCTCGCTTGAAAACATTTGATGAGCTCAAAAACATCATGCAGTTGGCTGTATGTCATGGGGAGTCTTTGATAGGGTGCAATAGTCACTAGTAAAGAAAATGATTGAAGCTGTAGTTCTTCCCCATTTTCTATTTTTATTCACACTAAAACAGCATTTCATTTGACAACTTAGTTTTGTTGAAATATAATAATGAAATAATATATTTATATTTCAGTTTTCATGCTGTCAGATTTTCTCTTATAAAATTTACTTGCCGTGTAAGCCAAAGTATAATGCACATGTTTGCAAGTCTGTACAATTCATTTTAAATAAATATTTACAAGGAGCTGTATTTGCATATTAGACTTCAGGCGTTTCCTTCTGTTCTCCAGAGGCTTTCAATGTACTGAACCATCCATCCATCCATCATCTAAACCGCTTATCCTTCTGGGTCGCGGTGGGGTGCTGGAGCCTATCCCAGCTGTCATTGGGCGGAAGGCAGGATACACCCTGGACAGGTCGCCAGTCCATCGCAGGGCTGTACTGAACCATTGATATGTAAATGTCCCTACTACTTGATTCGGATGTTGCAAGAGGGTTGATCATCAATTTCACTGTTTCCATCTCAGCTGAAGTCAGTGGGCTCTCAATTTGTGGGACCTGAATTCCAAAACGTTCTTCATTTGCACCATCAAATGACTCTCAGTCGGTTCCAAACAGTTCCAGATTCTGAAACAAATTTTAAAGAGCAATCTCTTTGCATAAAACACGGATAATGTGAAATATTGAAAATGTACTAGATAACAGGCTGAAGTGATTTAATGCAAACGTGCAAATCCTCTTCAGAGTCACCAGAGGAATTCTGCATGTGTCCCAGAACCCACAGCTGGTTAGGGGTGAGTCCACCTTCGGATTGTAAGGGATGATTGTTCCAGCCTTCTGTGAAGGTGTGAAGATCCAGAGAAGGGAGAGCAGCAGCATGTAGCTTAAGCAACTGATAGCCTTCTTATATAAATGGGCTTTAAAACAGTTTAAACAACTTTTTTATTACAGTACTGCTAATTTGATTATGCACACTTTTTCTTGCAATGAAGCTTCCTCTTCCAGTGCCTTTTACAGTGAAGACGGTTTCTGCTGTTCTCACATTTTCCACACCATTACCCCCTTAACCCTAGAAAATGTATTATAGTATTTTTAAAAACATTCAGCAAAGGGGTTAAACAGTAATTCTAGAAGCATGTACCACAGTTTTACACCTTGATGGCCAGCCATGGTTCTGAACTGCTTTGAGAAAAAATGAAAGCCTGCCCTGCACATTTTAGTGTTTTCCCTGCACCAAGAAACCCGATTTAACTAATCAGCCAAGGACAAAAGGTGTTATAAAAGCTTCTGGAACCACAAAATATATCTATATATATATATATATATATGTATATGTGTGTGTGTGTGTGTGCGCATGTGTGTGTGTGTGTATTTCCCTATAGCATAAACTGCAACATGAACCTTTTATACTTGCACGTGGAAATATTTGAGGATGAGGCCTTTTTATGTTTGAATTTCTTGATTTCATTTCACAGCTTTTTGTTGAGACTTTTAAACATACTATATAAATATAGAGATAACTACTTTGACTTGTAATTGATTTAAACATTAAAGGTAACAATATACGTTCTATGTAGAAAGTTTATTATAAAAAACATTTTTGTCAGTACTGTATTAGTTAAATGTCCCCATTTTACATCCCTCAGCTACTAGCTTCAAACGTCTATGTTTAGGCTAAGTTAAAGTAAAAAGTGAACGACCACCGCTAGCTTGATGTTAGCATAACATTAAAATAATGAATATTCGCATTATCACTAAGAAAAGTGAGCGTTAACCAAAAAAAAGTCCAAAACGAATTACAGGATAAGGAGTAAAGTAAATGATCAACAAGCAGATTTTGGGAAGCCCTCAATACCAAAACCATAAGTTAAGAGGTTAACAGAAACCAAACAACACCACTGCGTTAAGCCTGCTCCATATAACACTGCTGCCCTCAAAGATTACAACGGTAATGTACTTTATTACACCATTAAATTTTCTTAAACTATTTGAAACAAATCATTGTTAAACAAATGTGCTTAACAGATAGAAGAACAAATGCTGTAACTTACCTGAGGCATAGTTGAGTTTCCACTGTCTCCTTCAGCCATCTTGCTGCCCACTAACTGTTGAGACCAGGACGCTGGAGAGGACGCACTACATCGAATCGATTGGTCTCCTACTCAATGCATTTTGCCTGTGACCCCAATGACATATTTTTGACAGTCATTCTCAGTTTTAGATGCGTATTCATAACTAAGAAGTTGTAACCATAATTTAGGTATGCATAAATTGTTATAGTTGAAGATTTCGCAGTTGTATTCTTATAAACCACACACAGCATTACGGCTTTATGTTTTTATGTGTAATTTAATCTGTACGTGAATGTATGATAACCCAGGAGTGTGGCGCCTTCCAAGAGCCGCTCTGCATGTCTACACCTCCTGAGCGACTCCCAAGCGGTGTGCCTTAGGAGGACACCACAATAATGACTATATAGAGGATGTCTTTAAAAGACTGAGGCATGTTTCTCAATGCTGGTGTGGTTTTGCATTGTGTAACAAATTAACGTAGAATACATGAATGTGCAAGTTTCTATCCGAGCTCACAAGGAAGTCTAGCCACAGCCAGCTTCTTACACGCTGTCATCACCATCTGTACTGGTTGATCTCTTTCTCTTCCAATGGGTAGCAGTACTCTGTGGTTCTTCTTGCCTCTTGAGGTGATCACTGCTGTAGCATGTTGTCTGGGTAATGCGCTGGTGATCTGGGCAGTGTGGACATGTGGAGCCCTCTGGAAGCCCACCTTCTGCTTCATTGTGTCCCTCGCTGTGGCTGATTTCCTGGTGGGGTCTGTGGCCATCCCCATAGCTGTGCTGGTGGACATTGGTATCATCTCCTCCTTTTATGGCTGCCTTTTCATGTGCTGTGTCATCATAATGCTAGAGGTGGCCTCTGTCGCCTTTCTCCTGGCCATTGCAGTGGACCGTTTTCTCCGTGTGCGCATCCCTCTGACGTGAGTAGTTTTTATCCTTATATCTGAAGGAGCTATAACCATCCTGCAGATAAATAACTTCAGATTTCAGTTTCATACTGTGCTACACCTTGACAGTGGTGTTCTGTGGTGTTTCTTTGAAATGATGTTGTAAAACTGATATGTTAGCCCTCCCTTTAATCTTTTTTAAAGAAGCAGAACAAAGAAAGTGATACTATTTATTTCTTTCCCAGGTATAAGTCTACAGTCTCTAAAAACCGCTTATGGATCGTGGTGGCACTCTGCTGGGTCACTGCTGCATTGTTGAGCTTTATCCCCATGTTTGGATGGCACAAATCTTTGGACACAGACAGTATTAAATGCAGATTCTTCACTATTATCTGCGATTCATATCTAGTTTACTTCATATTCTTCAGCTTATACCTTCCTCCATTGGCTCTCATGACAGGCTTGTACTGTTACATCTTCCTGATTGCTCGAAGGCAGTTAAGAGCAAATATAGGTGTGGGTTCCAAGTCCAGCACATATTACCAAAAAGAACACAGACTGGCTGCTTCACTTGTTCTCGTCTTAGTTCTGTTTGTTGTCTGTTGGCTCCCTCTGTTCCTCATGTTTACTGTAAGATTATATGGTCATAATATTAAGGTGCCCTCTGTTGCCATTGAATTAGGTGTCCTCCTGTCTCATGCTAATTCAGCAGTTAACCCCATAGTTTATGCGTTTACGATCCCAAAGATAAAAGAGGCGTGTAGGAAGCTGTGGAGAAGAGTTTATCATGACAGAGAACAGCAGCAGAGTGAACAGAACAAGAATAATACAGACAAAAACACAAACAGCCATGCAGAAAACACCGGTACAGAAAACCAAAAAGCTACACAGGAGTCGGAGTTGTAATAACCTACTGCAACTGATTACAAATATGAGGTGCACAAAGACCATAATTGACCATTTGCAAAATTATGATCGACACGTCGCTCAGCCATCACAGTCGTCAGTAAATGCTCCTTCTTCCATCAAACAAAGGAAAAGCTCCGGCACTGTTGAGTCAATTTGTTGTTTTATCCTAAAAAAATTCAATGCCATTTCCAGAGAAATTGGGACATTTTTAAAATGCAATAAAAACAAGAAACTGTGATTTGTTCATTATTTTGAACCTTTATTAAACTGACAGAAGTACATAGAAATTAAGATTTAATATTTTGGCTGATCAACTTGATTGTATTTTCTAAATATAAACAAATTTTGAATTGGGACAGGGCACAATAACAGTGACAAGATTATAGAATTTTCGAGTTACGCCATTTTGAAACATTCCACAATAAGCAGGTTGGTAACAGTCGAGGGAATCATGACTGGGTGTAGATCAGCATCCACCAAAGACTCAGCCTCAGCAAGCAAAGACAGGTCGTAGCTCACCACTGTTGAAAATATGTGGGATGTATATCATGAATAATGAAGAGGAGAATCAGACGATGACCACAGACTGTTGGCAGCTAAGGTCTTGTATCAAGCAAGAATGGGCAAAAATTCTACTTGCAAACCTGCAAAAATTAGTATCTTCAGTTCCAGTAAAAACTGTAATGAAAAGAAAAAGTGATACTACACAGTGAACATGCCTCTGTCCCAGCTTTTTTGAGTGTGTTGCAGGCATCAAATTCTATATTTCTTTATGTTTACAAAATACAATTCTGTATTTTTTTCAGGTTCTAAAATATTGGAAATCTTCTCTTTGTACTCAGTTTAAAAAGATTTAAGAGAATTAAGAAATCACAGATTCTTGATTTTATTGCATTTTATGAAATGTCCCAACTTTTCAAACTTTAGCAGCTTAAATTTTAATTGAACATCAAACAGTAAGTCAACAGAACAATAATCTGTGTGACATTCTGTTATTATTTGATATATCATTAAATTTTTAGTTTTTAAAATTTAAGGAATTTTTAGGTCAGTCATGTTACTATTTAATACTATTTTATATATTATCTATAAATACATTATAAATCTGTCTTTTTAATACAATTTAGGCAATTTAGTAATTTCAGGAGCCCTCAACTGGCAAAACAATCTAGGCATCCACCCCATTATCAAGCTGCCTTCAAGCTGGGATTACTCAAAACATGCTGTGAAGAATCTGTCTTATGCTTTAAAGTTGACTTTAAACCCCACAACCTGCACAAGAATTACTTTTGCCAAAATTCAATGTGCAACCTGTGACGTATTCAACAAAAGAACAGACACAAAAAACCCAAAAGAAGCCGGGAGTGAAAACAGCTGCATTTCAGGTCTGTGGAGTTTCACCAGGGAAGACATTCTGTGTTTGGTGACGTCTTCGGGTCCGTTTAGACAGTCACTGAGTGTAAAAGTCCTAAATAATTTTATTTACGATTGTGTTAATTCATCCAATTACATATTGTTCTCTGAAATGAGCAGAATATGAATAAAACATCTTTTAATTTCCAATATATATCAATATAAATACTCTCAGTTAAAGCTTATATTCTGTATTTTAATGTCATTGTTTCATTCATCCTTGTAGTAAGTTTACTTTCATTACATGTAAATTAATTACATTCTTCATGTTAGGACTGAATGTTTTGGGTAAAATATCCAATCGCAATATTCTGACTTCAGTTGAAATTATGTTTTATATAAATTGAGATCCAGGCCTGTTCATTTTATTTTTTATTTATTTATTTGGCCAAGAAGACCAGCAGATCCATTTATTCTGCACTCTGCATGAGGGTGTTCCTGTTAATAGGTTATATTTTTTCACTTGTTAAGACAATCACTGTTGATAATATAGGATATAGGAATCTTTCAAATTGTGATTTTGATATAAAAACAATGACTCTTTCAATCCTGCTTCATACAGTGGAAGCCATGTGTGAGAATTTGTTATGACCTACCTGGTCAATTAGAATGTTGAGTTGAAATGATCAAAAGGGAGAAAACAAGATTAACTAATACAGTAAAAGAGCACCAATGAAGATGAAGTAGAATTTGATCCCCTGCCATTCACATACAGAGCTAACAGGTCTGTTGATGTGGTCAACATGGCCCTGCGCTTAATGCTGTAGCATCTCAACAGTCCTGGAACCTACGCTAGAGTTCTGTTTGTGGACTTCAGCTCAGCTTTCAACACCACAGTGCCAGAGCTGCTGCAGATCAAACTGTCCCAGCTGTCTGTGCCAGATCCCATCTGTCAGTGGATTATGGATTTCCTGACAAACAGGAGAACAGCAGGTGCAGCTTGGAAAACACACATCAGGCCCTCAGTACTGGAGTTCCACAAGGCTGTGTGCTCTCATCCCTTTTCTTCAGTCTGTACACCAATGACTGCGTCTTCAAGGAACCAGGAAGGAAGTCGAGCAGCTGGACTCCTGGCGCAGCAGCAACTGCCTGCTACTTGCTCAACACAAGACTGTAGAGATGGTGGTGGATTTCAGGCTCAAACTGATGAGGCTGATGATAACATAATTTCCTTTAGTTCATTTGAAAATAGATGAAGTTGACAGTAAAATACATTTTTGGATAAATTGTGCTCCTTGTGTGTGTTGCTAACATTGTTAGCCTCTTTTTTCCTCCAGTAAACATTGAATGTCTGAACTCTGACGTGTTTTGATTGGCTTTCAGAACTGAATACATTTAACAAGGTGAAAAGGAAAATAGTATAGTATAATAAAATATTTATTAGAAATTGATGATGTGAAGTAAATGTAGAAATACTATGATTTTATTTTGTGCCTAAAATACCTTTACAAGGAAAAATGTACTGAAGTACAGTAATGAGAGTAAATATAATGTGTTGCTTTCCACCTCTGTGGAACAGAACTGAATCTCTGCAGACAGTAAATGCAGTGTTTAAAGGAAAGAGGCAAAACAACTTGAAACAGCTTATTAACAGCTTAATAATCTACTGCGGTAATGACGGTGTATGACTGTAGCAAACATGCCAAGTCTCACATATGAGGTTGGAAACTAAAGGTTTTATTCATTTACCTCATTAAGGTTGGTGGTTTTAATTTATATGAATGTCAAAACTTGATCAAAAACATGGAAAGAAAATACACCTATCTAGTAGTATATTAGCTCTAAGTTAACTTCGATTCATATAAACATTTTAGGGTCTATATCAAACATGGACATTTCCATCTTATGAATACATTCCATGTATTATTTGAACACGTAACAGACATTAACATTTTATCATGTAGTATTTTCACAGTGATGCTTTCAGTAGCGTATCCTGGCATAGAGCTGCCACTGTTTTCCATTTCTATCTTCAGACTGAAACGTCTTCTTTAGGCTGGCTCTTGTGTTCACAGTCAGTCATGTATCTTTCAGAAGGCCTAGAATGATGTTTATTTTCATGAAATTGGCCCAGAACATAGTAAATCAAACCATGACTGGTTGATTTTACTGTAAGTTCGTTATTATGTTATTGGTTATTCTGAAATGTTAGACCTTCAAATCACCCCTAGAAGTCCTAGCCAACGGGAGAGCTCACTTGGCTGCATCTACTTAAATACCATAATGAAAAAAGATCTGATTGGATAGTTTTCCAAATTTACCCCAATTTATCCCAATAAAATAAGAGTATTATTAAAATATTTGCAGATTTTAAATAAGCATGATGATTGATTTAAACCAAAAATGAACTACAAGTTAAAGATGTATGGTTTTGTTTTACAAAATCATTAGACCTTCTTTAAAGACCTAGAACACCCAGAGGGTTCCTCTTTTTGAGTCATAGGTCTAAAGTCAGTGTTGATTTGAGTCAGGAGTCAGTCAGCATGTGACTTGAGTCTGAGTTGCTGACTGGTGTCCCCATCTCTGGATTCAGCTGAGCAAATTTTTCATTAAATCACTTATTGAAAATATGTTTGTTTTTATAAACAGGATGCATAATACCTGTGCAGTAAGTTTTATGTATATCAGCTATGTAGAGGATGTCCTTTAGTAGAGTGGGGCATGTTTGTAATTTTGAAAGGTCTGAGGGAGAGACCTGCAAACACAGTAATTAAGGCTACAGCGGCAAATGTCTGTCAGTCTTGACCTGCTCTGCATAAGACATCATGTCGGAGTCCAGAGTGCCCCCTGCTGTACAGGCACACAGTCTAGATCATCTGAGCGTTGTTCTCCTCCAAAATAAGGAACTGGACTGATGAATAGGTTCTGCTTACTTTAACAAAAACCTTTTTACAGCTTTAAAAAATGTCAAAAACTTTACAGCTGAGCATCTTTTTCAGGGTAACAAAGACACATTTATTCAAACATGACTTTTAATCCTTAACACTTGCCTTGTGTACTGAGTTGTGTTTAGTGTTTATGAACCATTCAGAGTTGAGTGGTTTTCTTTTCATAGCAAGATTGAGGCATGTTTCACAGTGCCAGTGCGGTTTTATACTGCATAACAAGATTACGCAGAAAATGAAAAAAAAAAAAGAACATTATGAGTCATTCCATACCAACTCATCTAGCCCTACCAATTCATGTCATAGATTTCCTTACAAAAGCTCATATGAAAACTACTATTAAATTCATGGGACACTGCAAAACCCTATAGCTCTACTCCAAGTATTTTTTTAGTTAATTTTCGAAGTTTCATCATTTTTGCGATTCTTTATAAGTGAACTCCTCACCAAGTGCTTATTTTTCACTGGGTTGGGATGAAATTTGTACTGAACTGTTGTTACTGTATGTTTCACAGTAATCAAATTATAAAAATTTAGATTTTTAACCAGAACATAAAATTTCAAAAATTAATATTTCTATTAGTTTTACTTTTCTTGCAACCATTTTGACTCTGTGTAGTTTTAGTGTAGTTCTATCACATCTAGAAGTTATTTTGTCCTGCACTGATCTTGGTAAATGTAGCTTCAGAGCTAAAAGTCCACTGTTAAAGATATTTTGACTCTGTATTTTTCCAAGAAGGATTCTTTTTTTTATGGGGAGGTGTTAAAATGTTTTAGAAGCTGGTGTGTTGGCATACACAAGATGTTCTGGATTCTGGCATACCCAGAACCATCAATGGGGCATTACATTACATCAATACATTTTAATAAAAAACAAAGACAACATATCAAATAATACAACTAAGAAATTTATTTAAGAAGTTTTTGTAAAATATATATGCTCGTGAATTTGATGTCAGCAACACGTTCCAAAAAAGTTGGGTTATGTTTAACACTGTGCTGCATCACCTCTTCATTAAACAACACTCTGTAAGCATTTGGGAACTGAGAAGGCCAATTGCTGTAGTTTTGAAAGTGAAATGTTTTCCCGTTCTTGCTTGATATAGGATTTCAGCTGTTCAACAGTTTGGCATCTCCTTTGATGAATTTTTTAACCCATTTTCCACACAACAAATGAGACATTCACTGCACTGTACCACATCTTCTCAATCTATAAATCCTGTAACACACCCTGAAGGTATTTATAGCCCGATCATCCGTGTGCATTGTCATTTGCAGAAGCCTGAGGTTACTACCACCTTAAACACACAAGGTGACTAATTTTTTCGTCCGGGGAGCCGATCATACCTCAAAAAGTCCCACCCTCTTTCTCTGTGGTAATGCTTTCTTCCAGAAGTTGTGGGATGAAAACGGTTTGTAGCAGCAGGTACAGGCGCACACAGAACTCAACAGTTAATAAATGGGAGACAGATCTGAACTTATTATGCACCGTAGAGAGTAAATTGCCTAAAATCCTTGCAATCGCTCATTGAGCAGCTTTGTTTTCAAAATGTTGGATTATTTGTTTATGCATTTCTTGGCTAAGTGGTGAGTCTCAACCCATCTAGGCCTAGATGCTCTTTTTATACCCAAGCATGATTGAATTATTTAAGAGGTTTTTTGAACAATTCTCAGCTTTTCTAGTCTTAAAATAAACTATTATTTCATTCAAGTATTTATATGAGTTGGATAAAACTAGTCCAATTTCTTGTTACCACATGAAGTCATTTTTAGGTCACTAGACTTGTAAGAACATTTTAATGTTTTTTCAGATAGGGAATTATGCTGTTGCAGGACTTGCAGCTGAATTCAGTTATATCTTGAATTATGAATTTCAGCCAGAGCAAACTTTCTTTTTCCTACACTTGTAAGTGATTTAGTCACACTTTTTAAAATTTTAAACCATTTTTATTTTTAAATATTTTGGATAGTTTTTAATAATCTATGAAAAACTAAAGCCCTTTCTTCAGTATTAAATTTCTAATGGCTAGTCACATTCCCATGCTGTATGGATTTAAAATGTTTCATTTGAGCGTTGGCTTTTTGACAGTCAGCCAACTTCCTGTAATAATTTTGTGGACGTGTCTTGAGCCTATTATCTGTGTGTGTGTGTGTGTGTGTGTGTGTGTGTGTGTGTGTGTTTGCAAGTGTGAAGTTTTCTCACTGCTTATCGAAACTCAATGCATTTCATCAGAGCTCACAAGGAAGTCTAGCCACAGCCAGCTTCTTACACTCCATCATCACCATCTGTACTGGTTGTTCTCTTTCTCTTCCAATGGGTAGCAGTGCTGTGTGGGTCTTCTTGCCTTTTGAGGTGATCATTGCTGTAGCATGTTGTCTGGGCAATGTTCTGGTGATCTGGGCAGTGTGGACATGTGGAGCCCTCAGACAGCCCACCTTCTGTTTCATTGTGTCCCTCGCTGTGGCTGATTTCCTGGTGGGGTCTGTGGCCATTCCTATAGCTGTGCTGGTCGACATTCATATGAAGATCCCCTTTTATGGCTGCCTTTTCATGTGCTGTGTCATCATAATGCTAGAGGTGGCCTCTGTTGCTTTACTCCTGGCCATTGCAGTGGACCGTTTTCTCCGTGTGCGCATCCCTCTGACGTGAGTAGTTTTTATCCTTATATCTGAAGAAGCTATAACCATCCTGCAGATAAATAACATCAGATTTTGACTAGTACTGCGACCGTGTGACAGCTATTTGTAGAACAATGTGGAGCTCTATGGTGTTTCTTTTATGATGTTTTATCTTTTTAAACTATTTAAGAATCAGAACAAAGAAACTGATACTATTTATTTCTTTCTTAGGTATAAGTCTACAGTCTCTAAAAAACGCTCTTGGATCGTGGTTACACTCTGCTGGTTCGCTGCTGTGTTGCTGAGTTTTATCCCCATGTTTGGATGGCACAACCCTTTGGATGCAGACAGTATTCAGTGCAGCTTCTTAACTGTTATTTCCACTTCATATCTAGTAAACTTTATTTTCTTCAGCTTCTTTCTTCCTCCTTTGGCTCTCATGACATGCTTGTATTGTTACATCTTCCTGACCACTCGAAGGCAGTTAAGAGCAAATATAGGTTTGGCTGCCGAGTCCAGGACATACTACCAAAAAGAACACAGACTGGCTGCTTCACTGGTTCTGGTTTTCTGTCTCTTTGCTGTCTGCTGGCTCCCAGTATTCCTCATGTTTACTGTAACATTATATAGTCAAAATATTGAGGTGCCCTCTGTTGCCATTGATATAGCTGTCCTCCTGTCTCATGCTAATTCAGCAGTTAACCCCATAGTGTATGCATTCAAGATCCCCAAGATAAAAGAGGCGTGTATGAAGCTGTGGAGAAGAGTTTATCATGACGGAGAACAGCAGCAGAGTGAACAGACTGAGACACAGAATAATACTGACAGAAACACAAACAGAAACATAGAAAATGATGCTACAAAAACCAAGGCAAGTTTATTTATATAGCACCTTTCATACACTGCTATCATTTAAAAAGTAAAGGAGAATGGAAATTAAAATGATGATTAAAACATGATTAAAAAAATAGATTTAAAAGAGAAACACATTAAATTAGAAATAAATCTAATTAAAAATAAATTAGGATCAAAAAGTGCCAACTTGCTCCAAAAAAAGTCAGCAGTACAGGAAACAGAATTTCTACATAGCACATAGCATAACTGTAAAACCTACTGCAACTGATGACATATATGAGATGCACAAAGACTGTAACTGACTATGAAAAAGAAAAAGACATATAACCCTGCAGTAACGCGACATGCTTAAAATGTCATTGAACACCAAATACTAAGATAACAGAACAATAATTAGTGTTACATTCTGTTAACTTATTTCATGTTCATACATACATATATACATCATCTAAACCGCTTATCCCTCTGGGTTGCGGTGGGGTGCTGGAGCCTATCCCAGCTGTCATTGGGCGGGAGGCAGGATACGCCCTGGACAGGTCGCCAGTCCATCACAGGGCATATTTGATGTTCAATAAACTTTTTTGTTTTTATTACTATTTTTTTTTTTCATTTTAAGGAATATATAAGTCATAAGCCATGTTACTTGTTAACATAAGCCACAAAACAACTTCCATCCATCCATCCATCATCTAAACCGCTTATCCTTCTGGGTCGCGGTGGGGTGCTGGAGCCTATCCCAGCTGTCACTGGGCGGAAGGCAGGATAACTTCATTTCAGGAGCCTCGATTGGCACAATTATCTAAGCATTTGCCCCATCATCAAGTTGCCCTCTAGCTGGGATTTCTCATAACATGCTGTGAAGGTAGTATACTTTTAAGTTGTCCTGACTAAACCCCACAACCTACAAAAGAACTACTATTACCAATATTTGGTGACGTCTATGGGTCCCTTCGGAGGGTTGTTGACTGCCAAACTACTAAACAGTTTCATTTAATATTGAGTTAAATTATCTTATTACTTATGGTCTTCTGAAATGTATGTATATGTATACCTTCATCTGTAATTCCTTCACGGTTCACCCAATATCATCATAAATACTCTGAGATTAAAGCTTCCCTTCTGTATTTTAATTTCAGAGTCCTTGTTTCATTTCATATTCAGTAGTTCAATTGCTTTCGTTAGATGAAAATAAATTACATACTGGGTACATATGGGGTAAAATATCTACTTTTCCAATGCAACCATTTTTTTTTTTGTACTCCACACATGGGTGTTCACAAGCGTTGTGTGTTAATAGGCTATATTGTTACATTTAAACACATATTTTGTGGTATATTGTGTGTCTGTGTGTCTCTCCGTTCACAGCTGTACCTGCTTAACCAACATCAATCATGTAAGAACTGCTGACCAATCAGAATCCTTGCTGGTGTGACTGGGAAGGAGCCTAAGCCTTAAAAGCTGGAATCAAGCTGCTTACACTGCTTTACTTTTACACCAGTTTTAGTGCTGATTCTCAGTCAGGCTGAGTCTTTGCTATTTGGCTCTAGTCTGCAGAGTTTTGGGTCAGTCAGACTTGGCAGTTGGAGAGAGAATCAGACTCTAGATTACTCTGAGTATAATGTAGTAGTGTATACTGATCAGCATCTCAATCTGAATGGATTCCTGCAACGGCCTAAGAGAACTGAAAGCGCAAAACAAGAAAATACAGTAAGTAAACAAAGAAAAATGGCATAAAGTCACTCACGTGTGGAGCGAAGCTTTTTCAACAAGCTGAGTTTGAGGCATGAGCACAATCGAGTTTATGTACATTTAAAACTTAGAACAATACCACACTAAATATATTTTTAAATCCATGAGCCTCACTTTACTCTTTACTGTGTCAACGCAAATGGCAGAGAAAACAGCAGCAGTGAGCCGTTCCACATTTGTCGGTTCAGCAAGAGCTTAAAAGTTGAGAAGTGTGATCTCCAATATTTCAGTTGCCCAAAAAACCAGTATGATAGTGTGAGATGCCTAGTCTTTTTATCATCCATTAAGACTTTAACAGTCATGTGGTGTACCCAAGGCTTGAGGGCTGTGAGGTTTCCCACTGCATATTTTAATTATGTGTGGTTTTGTATTTTTAATCTGTACTTCCTTTAACTTGGTTTTACAAGAGCTTGTGTTAGGGGTGTATTCATGTTGGGTGTTTTACCAGCACACTTACTGTTTACAGGAGCATTTGTCTCGTGTTAGGGGTTTGCCTACGTTGGATAAATCAGCACACTCCTAACTCAGTTTGCAAGAGTTGCTTGATCATTTGTACCATTTGGGGTTTCAAACAGGTAAGAAGGCCGTGCCAATACACTGTACACCATGTAGAATTCCACTAGTCTAGTCTAGTCTAGTCCCCTAAGCCAGTGGGTGGGCACAACCCATTTTAATTTTGACATCATAGTACTGCTTGTTATTGTGGCTAGCTTTAATAAAATTATTTCAAAACCTCTTGTTTGTCTGTTTCTCACTCCTTTTCCTTTCACTAGTTCTAAATAAGACCAGAGCATTTGGGATTTAAAAAGTTGCACTCCTTCAAATTGTGATTTCAATATTAAAAACAAAAGATACTTTCAATCCTGCTTCATACAGTGGGAGGCAAATGTGAATGAAGTTGTTATGACCTACTTGATTGGTTAGCATATTGAGTTGAAATTGTCACCTGGGAGAAAACAAGATTAACTAATACAGTAAAAGCAGATTAGAATTGAACATAACAGCAAAGAAAATGAAATAGAATTTTGAAAGGGAGAGATCTGCAAGGACAGTAATTGAGGATACAATAGCAAATGTCTGTCGTTCTTAATCTGCTGTGCATAAAGATTTTTTTACCTCTTGCAATACTGCTTCTGTTGCTTTTGCAGTTTTCATAAGTGTCTGACTCCAGTGCCCCCTGCTGTACAGATATAAATATAGGTGTGGCTACTGAGTCCAGCACATATTACCAAAAAGAACACAGGCTGGCTGCTTTACTGGTTCAAGTCTTGGGTCTCTTTGCTGTCTGTTAGCTCCTCCTATTCCTCATGCATAGTGTGCATTACTATGGTCATAATATCAAGGTGTCCTCCTGTCTCATGCTAATTCAGCAGTTAACCCCATAGTGTATGTGTTTAAGATCCCAAGATAAAAGAGGCGTGTAGGAAGCTGTGGAGAAGAGCTTATCATGACAGAGAACAGCAGCAGAGTGAACAGAACAACACACAGAATAATGCAAATGCAAACAGAAACACAGAAAATATTGGCTTTAAAAACAGCAGGAAAAAAGACAGCAGAAACTCTGTGAAACACAAGAAGACTTTTGGCATGGTTTGGGGTGGCATGGTGGCACAGTGGATAGCGCTGTTGCCTCACAGCAAGAAGGTGCCTGTGTTTGATTCCCGGCCAGGCGACCGGGGTCCTTTCTGTGTGGAGTTTGCGTGTTCTCCCTGTGTCTGCGTGGGTTTCCTCCCACAGTCCAAAGACATGCAGTCAGCCTAATTGGACACGCTAAATTCCTCTAGGTGTGAATGTGTGTGTAAATATATATGTCTGTGTGTCTGTCCTGCGATGGACTGGCGACTTGTCCAGGGTGTTTCCTGGCTTCCGCCCAATGACTGCTGAGATAGATGCAACCCAGAAGGATAAGTGGCTTAGGAAATGTGTGTGTGTGTGTGTGTGTGTGTGTGTGTGTGTGTGTGTGTGTGTGTGAAACAATTTGTCTTTTTGTCCTAAAAATAAAAAAACAACTGTGACCCTGCTGCAGAGGTGTAAGTAATGAATTACATTTACTCTCTTTACTGTACTTGAGTACAGTTTTCCCTGTAACGGTACTTTTTGGAGTAGAATTAAATCATAGTACTTTTACTTTTGAGTTAATTTTTAATGAAATACTTTAACTTCGCTACTTTAATTTTCATAACGTTACAGAGTAAAAATAAATTATGACCATATCAACTCAGACACCAAAACAAACGAAGGGTGGTTAAATTTAAACGATTCACCAATCAAAAAACAGCAGCTCCAGCAAGAAAACACTACAGAGAAGTGCGGTTTAGAGGAGAAGGAGAGGGGAGAACTGAACCAGCACACACGAGGAACAGACCACATCCAAACGGTCATTTTGCTCATATGAACTAAAGAAAATGGCGCTATTATCAGCAGCCACACAAAACCTGCTGAGATCCACTTTCACAGCTCAACTCCAGCCTGAGGCAGCATTGGCTGAGCTAGCTGATCTGAGCTAAACAGGTACCGTGTTTACGGGTTTCGTCTTTCTTTCATAATGCTTCTGTTTATTAAACAGCCTACAGTTTACTGTTTAAAATACAGCCTAGATTAGCTGCTGTTTTTGGGATAACTGGTCATGAACGACTGCCAGAAATCTAGTCTAATACAGCCTCTTCATAAAGTCTGGACAGTGATTCTGTCGCGCTGTGGTTGTTTTAGCTGACTCGCCTGATCTGATCCCTCCCCACCTCTGTCTCTGATATTGTCGCCAGTTTGTCCAAGATTATGCCCAGATTGTCCGGCCTCTCAACGATTTATTGAAAGGGGACTATGCCTCCAGACATAAACGTCACAGGTCAAGAGCAAAGTCACCATCACTAGGGGATAGGTCGACTGATAGCTGTCTGTCTGTGTCTCTCTCTCTCTCTCTCTCTCTCTCTCTCTCTCTTCCTCTTTCAATTTCAAAAAGGAACAAGGTGGTACTTAAATTAAATTAAGGTGGTACTAACATGGTGCTGCTAAGTTAGCTATCTGCTGTACTAGGAAGAACAGAATTAAGAGCTGTGGGGGTACTGACCTGGTTCTGATGGTCAGGAGATTGGTCATGAAACAACTCCTTGTTGCATTTACCTATTACACCCTTGTTGACAATGTGGACTATTTTTTTGCTGTAGGGGGGGGGGTGGGACTTAGTGGGTTTGTGTTAAATGTGTGAACTGACCTCGCTGTAGCTTGGCTAAGTTGCTTTTTGCTTTATTTGTCTTTTCTTCTTTGTTATGTTTTTTAATTTATTCAGAGCTGGTTGTGACCGCTCTTATTATGTGGACAATGGATGATTAAAGGGGTTTCAAAGTCTCTTCCTATCTCTTTCTCTCTCTCTTGCGCGCTCTCTCTCTCTCTCTCTCTCTCTCTCTCTCTCCCTCCCTCCCTCCCTCACCCTCTCTCTTTCTCTTCCAGTTTAGCTGTTTAACTGTTTAACTGTCAAATGAAGTAATAATGTCTGATTCTGTATGAAGTGATCAGCATGATTATTAGTGAACTATATTACAGTAAAAATCAAAGCTGGGTAAATTGCTGATGTTGCTGCTGGTGAGCTTTTTCTGAAATGGACAGCACTGGCTGAGAGTCCTGTATCTTCCTGTGTTGGAGGGAGGACAGGGACTAATAGACATTCGGTCCAGAGTGGCTGTTCTCCGTTTGCAAGCGGTGCAGCGGTTGCTGTATCATGGCCGTCACAGCTGGATGGATGTTGCCTGCGCTCTCCTGAGGGCTGCTGGTAGACTGGGCCTGGACAGACACCTGTTCTCTCTTTCTTTGAGAGCAGTGGATTTAGGTGGACTGACTCTTTTTACTCAGAGGCATGGCAGCTCTTTTCATTTACCAGGGATAGTGCCGCTGCACCGTCTGTGTGGATTTTTGAAGACCCTGTTTTTTAACCCAGAGTTTCCAGCGCTGAGCCAGGTTTCAGGGGCTCTGAGAGTGGCCCTGCTGGAAAGTGGCATCTCCAAAGTCTGCCACTTACAAAGGGGTGTGGACTGGGTGTCAGCAGAACAGCTGGCAGAGATAGGTGGCTTCAGGTCAGTGCGACTGGCGCTACAGATGCTGAATCGGCTGAAGTCTGACCTGTCTTTTCCTGTGTGGGATTACCTGGACATGAGCCCTGTAGACCAGTGCCAGAGTGAAGAGCCTGTGTTTCCTGAACTGGTGACAGATTTGAGAGATCCAGAGATGCAAAACTGGCAGGAGGGTCAGGGGATGCTCTTGTCTTTGGGAACCCTGACTCTTGGTCTCTTTAGCACTCTCACTAAGAGGATTTTGTACCTTGCGTGTACTAAAGCCCTGAACTTTCACAGTTTGAGAGACGTGCGACAGTCTAAATGGACTGAGGTTGTTCAGGCTGGCTCTTCCCCGAAAGGTAGCTGGCGGTCCCTGTACAAAAGACCCATTGAGAAGAGGGTGGGTGACCTCCAGTGGAGGATTGTACATGGGATTTTAGCCACAAACAGGCACATGGCACGGATTGATCCATTAGTGGGAGATGAGTGTCCTTTCTGTGGGATGTCAGAGACAGTCATGTTTTTCTTCACTGTGCACGCTTGGGCCCCATTATGGGTTTAATTAAGGAATGGGGTTTGAAGTTTTTAGGCTCTTTTGATCAGGTTTTATTTATTTATGGTCCAAAGTACACCGTTTCAAAAAGAAACACAATAGTTCTTCTAAATTGTTTGTATGGTGCTGCTAAGTTAGCTATCTGGTGTACTAGGAGGAACAAAATAGAGAGCTGTGGGGGTACTGACCCGGTTCTGATGGTCAGGAGATTGATCATGAAGCGACTCCTTGTTGAAATTTACCTACTACACTCTTATTGACAATGTGAACGAGGCGGGAGGGTTGCTTTGTGGACCCGATGACCTCAGTGGGTTTGTGCTGAATGTGTGAACTGATCTCTGCAGCTCGGCTGAGCTGGTTTTTGTTTTATTTGCTTTTCTTTCTTTGTTCTGTTTGTGATTTTATTCTGAGCTGGTTGTGGCCCCTCTTAGTATGTGGACAATGATTGATTAAAGGGGTTTAAAAGTAAAAAAAAAAAAAGTCTCTCTCTCTCTCTCTCTCTCTCTCTCTCTCTCTCTCTCTCTCTCTCTCTCTCTCTCTCTCTCTCTCTGCCTTGGTGTTTGTCTTTAACTGTGAGAGGTTGTTTAGCTGTTTAGCTGTCATATGAAGTAATAATGTCTGATTCTGTATGAAGTGATCAGCATGATTATTAGTGAACTATATTACAGTAAAATTAAAGCTGGGTAAATTGCTGATGTTGCTGCTGATTTTAATGGTGTAAATGTTCTGAACAGATATTAGTGAAAATATACAGTTTGAAGGCTGTGAATGTGTTTACTGTCTGTAGAGGTTCACACCTATTAACGTAAGCTAGAGTCCTGATGGGCAGCAGGACTCTCACTAAAATTACATCATTAATTAAGCAATTTACTCATAATTTTGACTTTTTTTCTCTTAAGTAAACTTAATTAAACAGTAACACCTTCTGCGCAGCCTTTTAGGGATTCTAAAATACTTGATTGGACACAGATAAACTAGGACGTCTTTACCATGAAATGCATGCAGTTTAATGTAAACTTTGTTCCAGTTCACAGAAAGGTGTGTAAATGTGCACTAACAGAGCGAACTGTGATCAGTCTCAGCTCTCAGAACTTTTTCTCACATAATATCATGTTTTGCTTTAGTGTTTTTTCTGTTCAGATTATTTCCAATTTTGTAGCACCTCAGAAATATTTTCAGGTTGTGACAGCGCAAATATAAAAAAGTAACTCGAGTACTTGAACTGCTCATTTACTCTTACTTGAGTATTTTTATTTACTAATACTTTTACTTGTACTTGAGTAGGAATTTTCAGTACTCTTTACACCCCTGCCCTGCTGTAATTCAGTCAGCCTTATTGATGTTCATTAAATAGGTGCTGGCCCTTTTAAGAAACCTCATTACCTTAAGTCAGAAAGGCAAGAGCTATATGTGGGAAGGGAAATCAAAATTAGCCTTCTAACATGAACTCCTGCCCCTTGTCTCTCTGATTGAATACGGAGGACTCCTCACTTGTAATTCCCATATCATCCGATGCTCATTGCATGTTTGTTGAACATATCATCAAGAATGACTCCCAAACGCATGCGGCCACTACACAAGAGCTGCCGTCATTCCCCAAACTTTCTACTGAGGCAGACTTCAACATATGGCAGCTTCGTGCTAAACAAGTGTTAAAAGACTCCAGTGTGAATGAGAGCTAGAAGCATAGTGCAGTACAAAACAGTTTACTTTCTGCTGCTTTAAATGTGGCTCTGTGTATTGGCCTACAAGCTGAGGATGGTAGTAGATTACAGAAAGTTAAATAACCTTACCAAGAAAGATGCACACCCACTGCCTTGTATAGAGGAGATGTTGACTTTGCTACCTGGTTCAAAATGGTTCAGTGTCTTCAACCTTAAGAGCGGGTATTAACCAGCTTGAGGTTGAGCCTTCTGACTGACCTAAGATAATCTTCACAACCCTGTTTAGGACATGGCAATTTCGCAAGGCTTAAAGAACTCACCAGCCACATTCTAATGGTCAGAAGAGAGAGTAATGGAAGGAATGAACCTCCAGAAGGTCATTGCTTTCCTGGATGATCTCACAATGTTCTCCAATATGTTAAAGGAGCATGAGGAAAGATTGATGAAAGTTCTGAAATGCATTTTGGATTTTGGACTTAAACTGTCCCCTTCCAAATGCAAAATTTCCAAACATCTGTAAGGTATCTGGGACATGTGATCTCTTCACAGGGAATTCAGCTTGACCCTGAGAAAGTTTCTGCTATCAAAACGTGGCCTTGTCCTCAGACTGTTCAGGAGCTCAGGTCATTTCTGATATTGAAACCGATATTGTCGCGAGTTTGTCCAAGATTATGCCCAAATTGTCTGGCCTCTCAACGATTTTTTGAAAGGGCACTATGCCTCCAGACATAAACGTCACAGGTCAAGAGCAAAGTCACCATCACTAGGGGAGAGGTGGACTGATAGCTGTCAGGCAGCATTTGAATTGATCAACAAACTGACTTCAGCACCCATTCTTCACCCATCCTTTGCGATTTCCCTATGTGCTGCATACTGACACAAGCACCGCTGGGCTAGGTGCTGTTTTGTATCAGATTCAAGATGGTCAAATCCTAATAGTGGCCTAAGCCAGTCGAGGGCTTTCTGAAAGTGAGAGAAATTATCCAGCCCACAAATTAGAAATTCTTGCTCTTAAATGGGCAGTCAGTAAGAAGTTTCATGACTATGTGTATGGGGCTAGATTCAACAGACAACAACCCAATCTGCTCTGGTGTAGAAGCTGTCTTTGATGATCTGGAAGATCCAGTCCTATGGCCAGGTCAAGAAACCCTTCCAGAGATGTCTGCGGAGGACTGGCGGCAATTGCAAAGAAATGACAGTAGCTTAGATTATATCATTGGTATTTTGGATGGAAGTATTACCAAAGAGACCTCAGATGTGAAACTGCAGCAGCCTGAAGTTGTGCTACTCCTAAGGCAAAAGGCAAAACTTCTATTACAGGAAGGAGTGGTGCACTGTAAAGTCTTAGATCAGAGAGCTGAGCCTTTCACCAGCTGCTCATGCCAAGCAGTCACAGGGAGAGAGCTTTTCATGTTGTGCATAATGAAACAGGCCACATAAGCATAGAGAGAACCTTCTCAAGAGGAAGTCCATAGTTACTGCCCCACTCGAGCTTGTTTGTATGGACTTTCTAAGCTTAGAACGTGACTCAGGAGATACTCATAACATATGGTCATAAATGACCATTTTACAAAGTATTCACAAGCCTACGCTACAAAAGACCAAAGTGCAAGAACAGTGGCCAAGATGCTAGGGGAAAATTTCATTAGCCACTATGGTTTTCCATGGAGATTGAACAACCATCAAGGGGCAAGTTTTGAATTGTAAGTGGTGGCAGAACTGTGTGTCCTATCTGGGATCAAGTCACGCACAACACCTTATAATCCGAGGGGAAATCTGGTTGAGAGATTCAACTGGACTCTCCTCGATCGTTTGGGAATGTTGGAGGATAAGAAAAGGAGTAATAAACGAAATACGTCAGGCCCATCGTACATGCTTATAATTGTAGGAGAACCAATGCAAGTGAAGAAGCACCTTTTCTTCTAATGTTTTCTCGTTATGTTTAGCCAAGCCTCCCAAAAGATCTCTGCTTTCCGTCCTAAAGGCCATAATTCCAAGACACATTCCCAGTATGTGTGTGAGTTAAAGAGCGGACTCAGATATGCATATAATTTTGCCTCTAGCAATGCCGAGAAAAGACAAACACTAAATAGTAGACGTTGGGATGTTTATCTCACTGCCATATTTCTGGAAGTGGATGACAGGGTCATTGTAAGAAACTTGATCTTTAGAAAGAGGCACAACATTTCTGACAGGTTGGAATCTGTGGTTTGTCAATGTAGTCAGACATGAAAGCATTTCAGTCTATGTGGTTTGGTCAGAGGACGGAGAAGGCAGGGAACGGGTTCTTCATCATGACTTACTGCTCCTGTGTAGGTTTTAATTTGTGAATTTGGAAGCTAAAGGAGAAAATTAGGTGTTTAATACATCAGCTCAAGAACACAGTGAAAGTGAAGAGGAAGAAGAGATATTAGAACCTTCAACCACGTCTAAGGTAAAACAGAGCAATGACACACCCTGCATGTTGTCCCAAGATGTTGAGGGTATTCCATCAGATTAACAATGTGTCCCCTTTTTCAAAGCTCTTTGAATTCTGAAGCTTCAGACTTTGCAACCAATGCTACAGAGTTGGTATCAACCAACACCAAAACAAAGTAGACCACAGTGGAGACATCGTCCTCCAGCTTATCTTAATGATTAACATGTTGGCTCCCAAGTTGGTTGCAGATAGCATGATGCTAGTGCACCTCTACATCGAACAGTGTTCTATAGCTTCTTAATCTCTTTGCAAGAGCAGATTGCAGCATTGATACAGGCTGCAGTTACTGAGCATGACAAGGACATCATATTCTAAGTGAGGGCCAATGTAACCTAGCTGTAAGTCAGTCAGCCTTATTATTGTCCATTAAATAGGTGCTGGCCCTTAAAGACATTTACAGAAGTTTCACTTTCTGCTCAGACAGTTTCTGGTTATAGAAACTGCTTTATAGTAGCTGTTTTTTCAAAACAGAGACCTCCTATAGACAGGTATAGGCAGGACAGCATCCGGTTCAGATTGCGGTTTTATCGCAAGGAGAGGATGTGGTTTTAGCTTGAGGGGAGGAGCTGTGTGAGGAGAGGTCTGGTTAAAGTGGCATTTAAAGTGTTTAAAAGTATTCAAAGAACATGTTTGTCCTTAGTCTGTTAACTCTTGTTTGCCTGCTGTGCTGAATTGGCTGATTAATGTTGAAAGGGTTAGCATGCAGTTTAGAGTGTTTTGAGAGAAAATACTAAAGGCATTTGGTCAGAAATGGTAGGAAAAATGTGTTTGTATGTTAAAGAAATATGGCATGTTTAACAGTATTGGGGTACTTGGGTATTTGGGTGCTTTTTAATGCATGTATGTTTGTTGCTTCCGCGCTGCAGATAGGTCTAAATATTGCGTAAGTTCAGATTGCAGCCAGCTCTAGCTACCTTCCTAACTTTAATTCCAACAAGACGAGATCTTTCATAAGCAACAGATTCCAAGATACCTAGTTGAGTAAAAATTCAATTTTATTGGACAGAAGTAGTAAACTGCTATCAGACCCTAAATAAGTTCTCCACTCAGTACAAGCTAATGGTTGTCTCCTTATTTGAGCAGAACATTTTAATGGTTACATACAGTCATGGCCAAAAGTGTTGGCACCCCTGAAATTTTTCCAGAAAATGAAGTATTTCTCCCAGAAAACTATTGCAATTACACGTTTTGTTATACACGTTTATTTCCT